TTTGGTTAGGATGCAAAGTAGAAAAATGGAGAAGACCCTGAAGAGAGACAAGAAGTACAGATGTGTACATCTGTATTTTAAGATGGAAATTCTAGAGCATGGTTTTTCCATCCAGAAAAGATCCTGTGAAAAAGTAGAGGCTAATGGTCCAGAAGACAGCGTTAACTGTAACAACAAGCTCATAAGAAATCAAGAGTCAATGGAGAGATGGCTCAGTGGTTAAGAGCACTGGCTGTTCTCCAGAGAACCCAGGTTTGGTTCCCAGCACCCACATGGCAGTTAACAACCATCCATAACTTCAATTCCAGGGGCTCTGACATCTTCTGGCCTCCCAGGCAATTCATACACATAGTATACTTACATGCAGATAAAATATTCATACACATAAAATAAAAATAAATAAATGAATTTTTAATTAAATAAAAAGAGTCCAGGGAGGACTGGGGATGGAACTTCATGGTACAGCACTTGCCTAACATGTTCAAGACCCTGGATTTGATCCCCAGAGCCAATAATAATAATAGATGCAGTCCTAGATTGCTTTCTGTTACTGTGATAAAACACCGACAAAAAGCAACTTGGGGAGTAAAGGGTTTATTTCATCAAATTCTGCTCAGCTATTTTCTTATATAGACCAGGCTCACCTTCCCAGGGATGACACCACCCACAGTGGGCTAGGGTCTTCTGTATCAACCAGCAATCAAGAAAATGCCCCACATACATGCCCATAGGCCAGTCTGATGGAAGCAACTTCTCAAATGAAAGTCCCTCTTCCCAGGTGACTATTTTGTGTCAAATTGACAAAAAAACTAACCAGCACAGATACTTTAGAAAATAATTATTTTATATGACCTGGTATTAGTTTGAGTGACAAATATCAGTGTTAGTAGTGAGGCTGATAGGGAGGAGGGTTTGTCCCTTTACAAGGTGTTCCACATAGAGGACCGTTTAATATGGAAAACTAGCCTGGGGCAAAGTTATGGATGAGGGATTTGTATTTAATTTGCTTGATTTGTTGGATTTGGGATTTAATTTGGACCTGCATTGGGTTGCCTGAGCCTGACCCAATAAATGTAACTATCTTCATTTTTCTGACACTTGCCTCAAGACCCTGATTCTGAGTCTGTAACCCAACAAGCTGCAGTTGCCGAAAAGTTCTAGCCCAGTGAGTCTCAACCTGTTTCTCTGCCATGTTTTTCTTGGTATATTCCTGCCTGTATATACCAAGTGGCTCACTTTGCCAGTTACTACAGCTGTGGGGAGAGGAGGGAGGAGGGTAGACAGCTACCTTACCACCTCTCTTCCTCCCCAACTCTTGAGAATCTTGTTCTACACCTTTTGTGGCAGGATTTAAAAGGCATGTCTGTCCTTTTTCCCAGAGCAGTTCAGGCATCTTAATGATCTCAGGCATATCTGCCCCCCACCCCCCAGTAGTTTCCCTGCTGAAGGAATGTGTTGTCTTTTGCAGACCCCAGTATAGAAGAAAGATTTTCTGCATGTGAAATCAGTACATACTTTCATGATGAGCATAGACAGTAAGCCAGCCCAGGGATTCTTTCACAGCTTTTTATGGACATCAACGGGACTGCACAGAAGGAACTTAGAATATTCAGGCAGTTCTGGCCCGTTGTGTGAGCTTCCTCTAACACAAACCCTCTTTTTCAAAATGAAGTCACCTGTATTGAAGGCATTTACTGGGATTGGGGTTCATAGACTAAAGAAGGTCCTCTTGTGCTCATGCTCACTTTACTGGTTAACTTTGAAAACTGTGATGAGGATCTTTAATACATCCTATTGTAGAATATCTGCTTGGTTTTTTAAATTAGTTGTTTTCATAGAAAATTAATACTTGTTAATGATAATTTTTTCAAACATTAGAAGGGGAAGTATTAAAGCAAAAAAATAAGCCTCAAGCTGGTGAGATGACTCAATGGTAGGTTTGTTGCACAAGCCTGATGACCTGGGTTTGATCCCTGAAACCCACATAAAGGTAGAAGGAGACTCCACAAAGTTGTCCTCTGATCTCCATACATGTGCTGTGGCATGTATATGGCCACACACACAGTAATAGTGCTAATAATAATAATTACTATTATTATTATTTTTGTCTTTTTAAGACAGGGTCTCCCTGTAGCTACAGCTAGCCTGGAACTTGCTATGGAGACCAGGCTGGCCTAGATCTCACAGAGATCCACCTGCCTTTGCCTTCTGAGTGCTGGGTTTAAAGGCGTACAGCTAAGAACAAGTAATCAAAGAAAAAAAGAAGTCCCATCTACCATAGGTGGAAACAGATATGTACTTGTGCATACAAGACAATGTTTACATATGTGCAAGCACCCTTGATATTTGAAGCATGAATAGGATCATGGTCTATATTCTATTCTGAACTTGTCCTTTAACAATAACAATATAGTGTCTTTCCAAATGGAGACACATGAAGTCTTCTCTGTTTACCCAGAACAGTCTTCTCTCAGATCTCTTCACTGCCTATTCTCTTCTAGTCCCAACTCAGATGCTTTCTCTTACTGATGCCTCCCTTAGCTACTCCATCTAAAATTTCACCCCCCCCAGTCAATTCCTGTCCCCTTTCTCTATTAGTAACAACCTTCCTAGCCCTGACTCTCTAACATACTTTTTGTTTTCTATATTGTCTTTTCCCCATTGTAAGGGGAAATTTTTGAGTGGGTCATTTACTACCATATCCCCAGCCTTTAAAGCAATGCTTGTTTCCATATAGTAGATGCCCATTTTGTGAATGAGTGAGTGACTGATGATGGGTTCACATTTGGATACACCATGATTTATTAAATTATTCTGTATGATGGGCATTGTTTTGTTTTCCCTGCTTTTGTGAATAATTCCATATTGAATCTTCTTAGATTTATATCTTCATATACACATATATATCATGTGATATATATGGATATGCACATTTTAATTTTTGAATATTGTCTCCCATCTTTTTTTCCCCTAAGAAGAAAGGTTAGATAGATTTACAGTCTTGCTAACACCCTATTAGGACATGCATTTCCTATACCTGTACTTATGGCATAATCTACCTTTAAGTCTTTGCCAGTCTGATGGCTAAAATGGCATCACACCTTCATTAGAATTTTTTTCATCAGAGGTGAAGCTGAGCATCATTCATATATTTACTCACCTTTTATCTTTTGCCATTTATTTCTTCTTTTTCTACTGCGCTGTGAGGTAGTTTTGCTGATGTGCCTTTGTTTTCATGTGTTTTCTTTCTCTAGGCTGCAACCAGATATAATCCAGAGAACAACCATCTGGGCGACTGCTGTGTTATGCTGTGCCCTGGTGTTAGATCTTTGTGATTATTCTCATTCTCATCTTTTGTTTGTTTATTTGCTAATAGCAATGATCATGAGCGCACAGCAGATGCTGGCTGTATGCTAGGCACGTGCTCAACACATTAATTTTTTATTTTTTAAAAAAATATTTTATTTATCGAACCCAGGTCCTCTGCAAGAGCAGTCAGTGCTCTTAACTGCTGAGCTATCTCTCCAACCCACATGGCAGCTACAAACCATCCTTAACTCCACCAGTTCCAGGGGAATCCAAAGCCCCCTTCTGACCTCAGTGGCATTGCATGATACGGGTGCACTCATATACATGCAGGCAATACACTCATACACATAAAATAAAAATAACAAATAAAATATTTTTAAAATATATTTTATTTATTTTTGTTTTATGTGTATGAGTGTATCACATGCATGTGTATAAGTGCACCCATGTTGTGCAATGCCTGTGGAGGTTAGAAGGAGGCGTTGGATCCCCTGGAACTGAAGTCATGGATGGTTGTTAGCCACCATGTGGGTTCTGGGACTCAAACTCAGGTCCTCTGCAAGAGCAGTCAGTGGTCCCAACCACTAAGCCATCTCTCCAGCCCCTTTTTTTATTTTTTAACTAAACTTTATTTATTATTATTATCATTATTAATTAGTGGAGGGGGCATGCCATGGTGCATGTGTGGAGGTCAAAAGACAACTTTTGAGAGTTAGGTCTCTCCTTCCAGTGATGGAACACAGGTTCTTAGGCTTATATGGCGAGTGCTGTTACCCAATGAGCCATCTTGCCAGTCTATGCACTTTGTTTATAAGTAAGTCTATGATTTCATGTTGGGCTGCCTTCATGGTAACCCTTAGTTACATTCAGCCTGTGGACCACTGGCTGGGCATGCCTGATAGCATTCCCATGCTTGGTTTGATGCAAAGGGATTTTCTTCTCTGAAGGAATGTGAGTCTCAGGAAAAAATTTAAGAGATCAAGGTCACAAGAGCAATAATAAACATGTTTTTCTCTTAGACTTCTGCCCCTGGCTGCCTGCGTTCTCTGAGGGATGTTTTGTATGCTTTCCTGTCATATCACCAGAAAAGGACATCTTTCTTTAGAGTTTCATTTTAGAGAAAAGACAGGCTTTTATTTTAGTTTGGTTTGGGGTTTAGTGCAGACTTTTTTTTCCTTTTATTTTTGAGACAATCTTACTATGTAGCTCAGACTGTTTTCAAACTCACGATGCTTCTACCTCTGCCTCTTGAATGGTAGGATTACAGGCACCAGCAAGTATCACATCCTACTTGGCCATTTTTTTTTTTTTTACATTTATTGGGAGGGTAATGTGGTGCTTGTGGAGGTCAGAGGACGACTTGCAGGAACTGGTTCTCTTCTTCCGCTATATAGGTTCTGGGGACTAAACTCAGAGCCTCAGGCTTGGTGAAAAGTACCCAAGCCAGCACACTGTCCCATATTGGTCTTATTTTCTCTTTATAGTCCCTACCACTGTCTGATTCCACAACAATATGATTTCTTGGAAGAAGGGAACTTTTTCTGAAATTGTAGAGGATGGGGCTTGATGGGTGTGTTTGTTCTCACTCCACACCTTTGGACACCCTTAATGCAGTAGCCACATCACCTCAGGGCCTTGGGGGCATTTGGACATTTTCTGTGCATTCTGATCATTTTAAACTGTTTCTTTAGACTCTTCATTGAGAAACTCCCCAAACACCGAGACTACAAATCAGCTATCATTCCTGAAAAGAAAGACACAGTCAAGGTGGGTCTTTGTTTTCATTGTTGTCCATCTCTACGCTTCAGAGTATCACAGACCAACTGAAATACAGCAGACCATGCATCTGAGCATCAGAATGAGAGAGAAGTGCTAAGGCTACCTCTTCAGTGCGGTACACAGCAGCGGGATAGCAGGGTATTGGGGTTTCAAATCATGTGTGAGACTTTGCTGCCACTCCTGACTTAAGTTTTCTTTCTCTTTTAGGTGACATTAGAATTGTTTTTAATTCTTAGTTTCTGTTTTTTATCTCAGAAATTAAAAAACGTTGCTTTCCCTAAAGCTGAGGAACTCAAGACTGAACTGTTGAAAAGATACACCAAAGAATATGAGCAGTATATAGCAGATAAGGTCAGTGTTCACAGCACAAAGAGAAGGGAAGGGATACTGGTTTCCTAGGCTGGGCCCTTGGATGGTGCTGTGCTGTATCAATGGATTCTGTGACTTTAATATACTAGTTCTTTTGGCAGGAACAAAGGCCAGTCACCCAAGAAAGTATGGTGAGATAGAAAGCTCTGACAAATTCAGCCTAGCTGTCCAAGAGGGTAGTAGGGACCAAAATCTGTTACCTTTCTGCCATAGCTAGAGCAAAAAGCCCAACCTCAGTGAAAATCCTCATGAGAACATAGCTTTGTGGCTCATGAGATTGGGAAGTTTGGTTCAGTTGAGGCTGTATCTAAGGCTGTTTGTAGTAGTTGATCTTTCCAGTAGTTTTCATTGGATCTTGTTAGGATGAGTCAGTTTGAGCTTATAGAGAAACACGCAGGGCTTCCCAGTGGTCCTGTGTCATATGTAATTAGGCACTATATATACCTACACGCTATTGTATAGCTGACTGCTGGGCTGTTCTGCATGTAATTGTTGACAGCAGAAGGCTAAACAGCTAGCTCTAAGCTGTATGAGAGAAATGTACCCCTGTATATTTCTAGATATTGAATGAGTAGAAACAGGAGTTTATTACTTGGTATTTGTTAGTTTAAATGAAATTATCATCAGAAAAATTTTGGGGGCCCCCGACATAAAGGGTATAAGTTTGGATTTAATTTGATTTTCTAGTCCTGCTTGGGATACAGAATATATATGCACAATTAGAGACTAGATGGTGCAGGCCATGTGATACAGACAGTTAAGTTGCATCAAGATTCAAGTAAATAATAAAGTACAGTAGATAACAGGTGCCTTAGTTACTTTGTTGTTAATGTGATAAAGTACCCTTAAGAAAGCAAGTTAAGGGAAAAAGTGTTTACTTTAGCTTACAGTTCAAGGGAAGTCAAGACAGTGGGAACCTGAAGCAGCTAATCACGTGGCATCCACTGTCAAGAAACAAGGAGGGGCCCACGGGATGCCTCAGTGAATAAAAGCACTGGCCCCCAAGCCCAATGACCTGTGTTAAGTCTCTAGACCCACATCACAGAAGCAGAGAACTGATTCCCACAAGTTGTCCTCTGACCTCTACATACAGGCCATGGTATACATGCTCCACCCACAATCAATTAATCATACATTCAGTCAACCATGTGATAAAAAAAAATTTTAATTAAACATAGAGCATGAATGGATGCATGTTAGTGCTCAGCATACTTTCTCCATTTCACAGTCCAGGATTCCCTACACAGGGAATGGTTGCCCGGCAATTACGATGGGCCCTCCCACATTAGTTAACATAATTAAGATAATCCCCTGAAGACATTCCCAGAGCCCTGTCTCTCAGATGATTCTAGATTATGTCAAGATTAAAACACTAATCATCACACTAGAGTACTTAGAAAATTGGGGCTTTAACTATCCTTGAAGATAAGAATATGTCAGCTTGGTAGAATGGGGTGGTTGGTGACTCTACACCATGGTTCTCAGGATACGAAGGGAAGCATGAATTCTGGGTTGAGAAGTCAGACCAGAGAACTACATTTTGGACATCTCCATGCAGAGAAGGCTTATTCTCCTGAGATGTTAATTATTGGCCTAAATCCTTTTCTTGCTCTGTAGAAGAAAGAAGAGGAGGAACTTGCCCGGAACATTGCCATCCAGCAAGAGCTGGAAAAAGAAAGACAGAGAGTTGCTCAACAGAAGAAGCAACAGTTAGAGCAGGAGCAGTTCCATGCCTTTGAGGAGATGATCCAGAAGCAGGAACTGGAAAAAGAACGGCTAAAAATTGTCCAAGAGTTTGGGAAGGTGGACCCTGGCCCAGGTGGGCCACTGGTACCTGACTTGGAAAAGCCTTGTGTAGATGTGGTTCCCACCTCACCTTTCCAATCCACACAGACTTCAGACCGTAACACAACTATAAGGTCAGCTAAGCCACCCGTGGTGGACAGGTCCCTGAAACCTGGAGCACTGAGCATCATAGAAAATGGTGAGTCCCCTAGCTAAGGTCCTCTTCCATCTCTTTTGCTTCCATGGTCTACTTACTTGGCTCTAATGACAGAACCTTGTGTGATATGTACTGTCTTTCTGTGTCCTGCCACACTCTGTTGTAAAAGTAGCCTTTAACTTACTTTGAATTGGGTCAGATTTCTGAAGAATTCTTGGAAGTCAGACCCTTAACTTTTAAGGTTCTGCAGAGATTTGGATTGTTCACTGAACTAGAGGTCATAGGTAGCTTGTTGTAGAACAATTTTGAAATTAGTACCACTGTGCAAATCAGCGACTTACTTAAAAAAAAAAAAAAAGACAGAGGGCTATGGAGATGACTCAGTTCCTAAAGTGCTTGCCATGCAAGCATGAAGGCCTCAGTTCCTATCTCCAGCATCCATGTTTTAAAAAAATTAAAAATAAAAGCTGGGTGCAGTGGAAGTCCTCTCTAACACCAGTGCTGAATGGTAGAGACAAGAGGACCCCTGAAGCTAACTGAACAGCCAGTCTACCTAAATTAATGAGCCCAGGTTCAGTGAGACCCTGTCTCAAAAAATAAGGTGGAGGCCAGCAAGATGGCTTAGTGGATAAAGGTGCTTTCCACCAAGCCTGACAACCTGAGTTTGATTCCCAAGACCCTACATGGAGGAAAGAGAAAGACAATTTACCCACGTTGTCCTCTGACCTTCACACATATGACATAGGGCCCATGCCTACACACAGACAGACACATACATGATAAATAAATAAACAAATAAATAAATAAGTAAATAAATAAATGTAAAAAATAATACAGTAGAGAACAGCTGAAGAAGATACATAACATCAACCTCTAACCTCCACGTGCATGTACACATACACCCACACAAAAGGCAGGCTACTGGATTGTGCAGACAACGTTCCTAACCTATAATGAGCTTAGTCAGTGTGAACACTGTGCATTGCAGATTCTTTCATAAACTTTACTGGCTCTCTTTCCCCCTCTTGTCAACAGTTGGATGATCCAGAAAATAGTAATGGGGTGGAATGATGAGAAAACCTCGTCAGATTAAATTGGGAGAGTAGGAATCAACTTTTGAGAACCAGTCATTTAAAGAAGCCAACTTGGTGGAGATCCAGTTTCCAAGGCCTGTAAGAAGAGAAGGAAGCTGGGCTGGGAGGCTTGGCCTTCACGCCTCCCTCCTCCCATTTACTAGAAGGTCCCATCTGCCTCTGCTCTTCCTTCCTGCATGTTCCTCCGGCATGCTTGGGGGAACACTCCCTAGACGGTCTTGCCCAGAGCTTTCTTAGCATTTGCCTTCTATCTAAACGCTGTTTCTGCCTTCCCTGAATTCTCCAGTTCCTCTGCCTTAGTTCAGATTGAGTCAATCCTCTGCAAAACTGCCAGAGCTCTTTTTATCTCGAATACAAATTATTCACTTCCCAGAGCGTGTGGTCATTTGTGAATAACTAGATTTTAACTTCCTGCAGGTGAGCTCTTGAGACCTTCTCATATTGTGTGCCCTGTGGGCCGAGCACAGTGTCTACTGAGAATGGACTCTGGATGACTGGATTGAAAGGACTGCCAAGCCTTTACCATCATCCTTAGACGCAGTCTTCATACCATTGTTGCTCCGTGTGTGGGTCTGCTCTGTTTCCCTCTGGAAGCTCTTGCCATTCAATGTGCAAATCTGGCACCACTTTTCTACTCCATTTTAATATGAAGATACGGCAGAGGAAGATCCTGCCTCACCTAGCTTGCTGGCTCTCACAAAGTTTCTCTGTGGAGTTCATGAACAGATCCTCTCAGCATTCTGGGCAGATTTTGTGAGCTGCTTTCTTAGTGTCTTCTTAGGAGACAAGAATGTTTTTTGTTTTTTTTTTTTTTAATGTGGTGGTGTTTAAACTTTCTCCTAAAAGACTAAATTCACAAGTGTATAACCACTCAAATCATTTTCCCTTGTAGGACATACTGTGCTGTTACTCTTTACAAGTCATACTCTCTGATACTGGGGTGGGGTGTGTGTGTGTGTGTGTGTGTGTGTGTGTGTGTGTGTGTGTGTGTGTGATTTGTATATTGATATGTGTGTTTGTGTGAGTGACTGTATATTTGGGCCTCAGCTTCCACCTTGGTTGAGACAGGGTCTCTGTTTACTGCTACATATGCCAGATGAGCTGGCCAAGGAGCTTGTGGGCATCCTCTTGTCTCTACCTCTCATCTCACTAAAGGAGCACTGACCTTATAGAAACGTACCACTGTACCTGGATTATACATAGGCTCTGTGGATTTATCACTTTGCTGGGCTCAGTCCACTAGCTGCTCTCACAGGTTAGAGTCTCGAGCTGCAGATTTCACAGGCTGCAGGTGTGTACTGAGAGCCCTGAAGTTCTAGGGTCTCAGGAGGCTGCCCCACTCTGGAAGTCTTGCCCCAGAGGGGATTCCCTGTGGTAGCTCTGCCCCTGTGGTGTCTCTGCCCAGGCCTCCAGTCTCTCTGCAACATTTTTTGAAATCTAAGTGGCGGTCCCTGTGGCCTCATGGTTCCCAGGGGAATCAATCAGTCTATGTGATTATGAAGACTAAGGAAGCCTACAACAGATTTTCTGCAAGGCAGGGAGTCTGGAATACTGATAGCATGGCTCAGTCTCTTCTCAAAGACCAGGGAAGCCAGTTGTGTGACTTTCAGTCTGAGATCTCAGAACTCAGGAAACCATCAGTGCACATCCTGGAGTCCAAAGGGCAGGAGATCTCAAGTTCTGATGTCTAAGGACAAAGGAAGAATGTGCTGCTTCTTAGATAGACAGATAGATAGGCTCCTTTCCTCTGCCTGTTTTGTCTGATCCAGCTCCCAGCTGGTTGTATGGTAGCCATGCTGAGAGTGGACATTGCCCCACAGTTCGTGCATCCACACACCAGTTTATTCAGGAATACTCCATGGTCACATCCAGAAACAATGCTTCATTCAGTCAAGCTCACACTAGTTCATAATCTCAGCTCCCAGTCACGGTGTCTAGAGTTGAAGAGACTTATGCCCCCTTTGTGGTACCCCCTTTGTGGTACCAGAAAGGAGAGGGACTCACAAAAGGAATCCTAGTGACTTCCCATTCTCTCCCAGGGCTGCCAGCTCTGATTTGTGCGTGGGGATACTTGGTGCTGTGGTCTCAGACTTTTCCCTTTTGTCCATTGCAGTTCCCACCATTGAAGGCCTGCGCCACATTGTGGTGCCCCGCAATCTTTGCTCGGAGTTTCTCCAGCTGGCCAGTGCCAATACTGCCAGAGGCATTGAAACTTGTGGAGTCCTCTGTGGAAAATTGGTAAAGAAATATAAACTTCTTCCTGAACTGAGACTATTTCTTCCTCCTTGGCCTTCTGTGACCCTCAGAGAAGATACCCAGGATCTGAGTCTGCACCAATCCCTCCATGGAGAGTGTATGACTGGTCACTTTCTGTTCTATGACAGTATTTGGTTGCTTTTCGGAATCCCTCAAGTTGAACTGATTGTTTTAATGTGATAGTTAGAAATACTTAATTCTGGGGTTTGGAAGATGGCTTAGTTGGTAAAGTGCTGGCCTTGCAAGCACAAAGACCTGCGATCCACTCCCAGGACCCATGTTTTTAAAAAAGCTAGTCATGGTAGCACAAGTTCTTAATTTTAGCACTAGGGAGGCAGACACAGGCAGCTATCCCTGGAGCTCCTGGCCAGTCAGCCTAACCTACTTGGCAAGTCCCAGGCCAGTAAGAGGCCCTGTCTCCTAAAAGGTGGTTGGCACCTGAAGAACAACATCCTGGGTTTTCCTTTGGCGCCACACCATCTGTAACTCCAGTTCCAGGGGATTTGGTGCCTTCTTCTGACCTCCACAGGCACTGTACCACACAGGTACACTTACACACATGCATGCAGGCAATACATTCATACACATAGAAAATAAAAATAAATATAAAAAATTGAGATCATGGCTTATGAGATGGCTCAGTAGGCAGCAGCTTGCTGCCAAGCCTCATGACCTGAGTTCAATCCCTGAGGTTGTCCAAGAGGTAGAAGGAGAGCTCCAACTCCCACAAGTTGTCCTCTCACCTTCACATGTATGCACAGAGGTGTTTGTGTACACACACACACACACACACAGAGGATGAAAAAATTCTAGGCAGGAGTCAGGCTCTTTCCTATAATCCCATCTCTTAGGAATCTGCAGCAGAAGACTTTCCACAAGTTTGAAGCTAGCTTCAGCTATATAGTGAGTTCTAGAATAATAGGAGCTACAGAGTGAGACAAGGTCAAAGGAAGGAAGGAGAGAAGGGAAGGAAAAAGGGGGGAAAGAGGTAGGGAGAGAGGGAGGGAAGGGAAACAAACTAACTTAATTTTATTAACTGAGCAGGAAATTCACTCATTCCCTTTATGTCCTGTTCTGAGCACATACTTGATGGTGAGCTGGGAATATAACATAGGTAAGGATATAAAGTGTGTTCACAAAGTGTTGAGTCACTTTGCAGAAATGGGAGACACACCAAAGGATAAGAGCATGCTGAACAGTGTGTGTAGGACAAGCTCTAGGAATGTTGAAGAAGCAAAGGCTCCTGAATGCAGAGCTTGAAGAACCTACTCTCAGTGCAGAGGGAATCAGTGAGTGACGTGGGAATGGACCTCACCTGGGCCTTAGAGGATGAGAACTGAACAGGGACGCTGCTTCAGACATGTGCAGGGAAGTGGGATGGGCCTCTCCCCAGAGCTTCTCAAGAGCCCTGAGCAGATGTGTGGACTGCTGCAGGAAGTCCCCCAGGGCTGTGGTGTTGGCCCAGCCTTTGCAATGAAGGTGTTCTGGGGTTTTGGAGGTCTTCTTAGTGCCTGTGGCTTTATCATTTGTGACTTTATAGTTTGCCAGCAATGTGTTTGAGCAGCCAAGGTTGTGAATCAGTGAGGTGAGGGACTCAAGGAGGACAAATAAGAGTGACTCTGGGTGGGGAGGGCCTTCACTCTCCACTGTTAGGACAGAGTGGTGTTGAGTGTGTGCCAGGGAATTGTGACCAGTTGTTTTCTCCTTTACAGATGAGAAATGAATTTACGATCACACATGTTCTCATCCCCAGACAAAATGGTGGGCCCGATTATTGCCACACAGAGAATGAAGAAGAAATTTTCTTCATGCAAGATGATCTTGGACTCCTCACTCTTGGTTGGATTCATGTAAGCAAATCTGACCTCTCTGAGGACTGAGCTTTTTTCTGTTCTGTTGGTAACACACTGCCTGCTTCTCTCTCTGAACAGTCTCCAACACACTTGACCACTAGTGCTCCGGCGCTGATTCATGGGCATTTCCTAGAATTTTTACATTTTTTCTAAACTATATTTTACTAAAATACTTCCCCAAGGCTGCAGTTTCCCTGTGAGGAAGAGGTAATAGGAAGCTGGCCTTGAATTTGTATGGACATTGGCCATAAGGACTGTACCTGTTATATACAAATGGCATTCCTAAAAGGTATGTGACTCAAACTTTTGTTAATAAGCCAAGGAAGTTCATTCAGATGGTATCATTTGGTCTTTATGCAGCCACCAAAACATGCTCCTACATGCCTGTGTATTTAAATGGTTGCACACTTCTAATAGTATTCAAGCAAAATAAATTTATTCTCCAAAGAGTAGATATTGCTTAATGTTTCTTTATATTGCTTTCAACCAGTCAAGCTCACAGACCAAGCTGCTTTTCATAGAACATGGCAGGTACAAGTTACAAACTGGCTACTTTCTAGATTGGAAAAATTATACATATTTGTAGGCCAGAACTTGGGAAGTGCTTACCTGTGAAGCAATCCCCTGTACCTTTTTATTCTTTTTCAAGTCAAGTACATAAATACCGATTTGTCTATTTACTATAGGAGATGACAGAGAAAACTTGTCATCTATATTCCTGGGGGCAGGAATGGGAGCTCACATAATGAGCAACTCTTCATGTGAGGCAGAGTGCACTCAGGGCCTCAAGAAGTGTCACCAGGGCACTGTGGAATTCAGAGGAAGCGGGCTCATACCTGACATGACTTCTGAGAACTTGGACTAGAGCGGCCAATGGGGAGCTCTGTGTGAGGGAGACAGCACTGGAAGAGGCACACTGTATTCCTGCAGCAGTGAGCAGTCCAGTTGGTGGGGATTTATGGTTCCTATCAGGAAAACATGGTACATAGGTGTTCATGTGATACATCAGAGCCATGTTCCGTGGAGTCTTGTGTGGAATGATGAAACAGTTGTGCTTTTGAGTAAAAGAACAGAAGGTTATTTGGGGTAGAACAATGATGTAATCGAAGCCATACTTCAGAAAAGTGCAAGTGAGGTTGTACACCTGGTTGAGGCAGGAGGTCATCAACGTTAGGGTGCTGCTAACAGCCAATGATGCTGAGACGGTGAAAGCAGTGTGTTTGAGAATGTGGGATGAAGATAGAAGTTGACAAGAAACAGAAGGCAGAGGCAGGCGGATCTCTGGGAGTTCAAGGCCAGCCTGGTCTACATTGCAAGTTCTAGGCCAGCTGGGGCTCTAGGGAGACCCTGTCTCAGAAAGACAAGAAAAAAAAAGTTGACAAGAAAAAGCTGACATCTCCGATTTCAGGTTTCGCTCATGGGGTGGCAGCGAGCCTCTTTTAAGCAGGAGTAGGGCATCTAGAGGACTGCCTGTGGACGTGTTCAGTCTGCACATGCGCATGTCGAATTTAAGGTACCTGCAAGATAACCAGTCAAGGCAGTTGGAAGCAGGTACTCGGAAGCAAGGTCAAAGCAGGAGAGCAATCTCGGAGGCTTCTGGACTGAGCTGTCTCAGAGGCCTTGAAAGTGGGGAGAAGCAGCTAGGAGACTGAGGGGTGCAGAAAAGACAGGAGTTAAAGAAATGAGGATGTGAGAGAGTGAGGGCTGTGTGGACATGAAAGTGACAGACAGGGACACTGAAGGAGGGAACTCAGGAGGCACGCCTGTGTCTGTTGCCAGCACGAAGAAGACTCAGATTGCCTGCTGGAGTTGTGAGCTCATTGAGGCTATCTGAATAGTGGATGGCCATGGTAGACAGAGACTGT